GCCTTACATTTTATAATGCCACTCTGAAACAGCTTTGTCTATGTGTTATTCATATTGAATAGAAGTAGGGAAATACAACATTTACATTAACTGATTATAACTTGAAGGTCCAACTAAGTTACTTTACAGGCCGTAAAAACCCAGATCGTTTATCGCTGTAATTTCAGCAACATTCTGGTAGCAGACTTAAAGATGGAAAATGCCCAGGAACAACCCTGGCTATTGACAGTGGTTATTGGAGTGTGACTGGAATCCCAGCTTCTCCTTCAACTGCTACTGTAAAAGTTGTAAACTAATTAAGTGTCTGACTCTCCTCCCATGTATGGGAGATGTGTACATGTAGATGGGGGTGATAAGGTTATTACGCTACTCTGTTGCTACTCTCCATCCCTGTGTACAAATTGTAAGAGAAAACTGGGAGCAAGTTAGACATGAAGCATATTGTCATTGAAGAAGTCTGATTGGTTAGCTCTATATGCCACTTAATTTGCTTCAAGCGTTCCGAGGGGTGGAGGGGGGTGGGGTAGTCCCTATAATTACCTACATGCGGAGGCTCCACCCAAAAGGGGGTACATTCTTCAGGCTTCAGGTATACAAGAGGGTAGGGATTTTGCTACTTGAAGTATATGAAATGGTAGGGAAATCGGTCATTTATGTCTGTAAAAAGACCTAAAAGGGCTAACAGAACAGTTTATGGCAGTGAAGATGTTGAGAAAATGTTTTGCTTTTTTATTTATTCATATTTTTTTACAGCAGTTAAAAGGGATACAAAGTTCTTAACTGGGTATGTGAAGGGGAATCATTAATTTTATCAGAAGATGGTATACAAAAGGGTTACCTTTCATGTCAAAAATAGTATATAAAGGGGTAAGGGGTTGGACCTCGGGGCGGAGCCTCCCTGTATAAACTGTGTTGAGTATCCCCCCTCAGGCAAGCATTTCAGAGTTAATTCTTGTATTCTTGATTGTACCAGATGGCAGTAATACAGAGGTTGACCAAGGACTCAAAGATAAAGTTATTCAACAGATTCACCAGGCCTGTAGAGATGTTGGCTTCTTTTACCTCACTGGCCATGGGGTTGAACAGTCAACCTTGGATAAACTTTTCACCGTTATGAAGAGCTTTTTTGCTCTGCCACTGGCAACCAAAAATACCATAAATATTCACAACTGTGAGTCTTATACTGGCTACATTGAAACAAGTAGGTTCCACTATATGCACTAACCATTCATTTCCCTCGAAACCATACCTGATTCCAGACTAAAATGGGCAAAATCTATACCTGTTTTGTGACCAAGAAAGGTGCAAAAACCCTACCTGTTGGGGTGGCAAATACCTATATGGCTTATATCCCCCCTCCCCCCCTGGGTGCCTAAGCAATTTAGCTGATGTTTCAAATCTTTTCAAATTATCGGTAAAAATAGAACCACATTATAGACAGTGCAATTTTAATGGGAAACTTTTCAGACTTGCCAACCTCCCAAAAGGCAAGATTCTGAACCTAAAGAGCTGGGAAAAGTCAAGTGAGAAAGGGGTAATAAGTAAAGTGAGATGTCCCAAATTTCCAAGTGGAAGAACTTCCAGCAGGGATTTATGGGTAATTTGGAAGTCACATATCACTTCAAAGCTGGCTAGTAGTGAACATCAAGATCAATTTTCCGATTTAAGTTTTGTACTTTCTATGTTTTGTTGGCGGCCACCTTGAAACAAGAGAAACAGTAAGTCTGCACATTTGGTAGCAGCAAGTCACTGTAGGGTGAAAGGATGTAATCAAATGTGACTGCTAAGTGTTTTCTTTGGATTGAGCTGGCTATCTACAGTGACTTGCTGCTACCACCAAATGTGCAGACTTTACCGTCGTGACACTTGTCAGGTCTGATTTTTTCAAAAAATTGAAAATTCTTATTATTATTAGCACAATAAAAAGCACTGAAAAAAGTTTGAAGTACTTCTAACACACCTCTTGTTTTTGGTTATTCTCAACAAAGTATAGCTTGACAAAGCCCATGTTTTCAACCATATTTTCAGAAAGAACTGATTATCAGGATTAACAGGGAGAAAGTCTTTTCAAGACCAGTATAGTGAACTGTTTAGTAATGTCTCAAAGCACTATGAGTTTAATGTAATATGGAATATATATATTTTTTCATATTCAAGGACCAGAAAGAACTCTGAACATTGTTGATATCAGGGAAGGATTCTATTTTTACCCAGAAATGGAAAACAACCAGCTTCCAGATGAGAGGGACCTGCCTGGTTTTGCTGATGTAATTGCAGCATACTCAAAGCAACTGAATCAATTGGGGTACGATTCGAATCATATTGCCAATGAACAACTTACACTACAGCTGTACATGTACAAAATTATTTACAAAAAATAATAAAAATTAAAAATTAATGCATTTAATGAATAATAATTAGAATAATAATATACATGTCTGCAGATAATCAATCTAGTCCTGTTATGAATCAACAGATTACTGATGATGAAAGCTTTAGCAATTGGGCTTCAACTCCCAGAAAACTTCTTTGATGGAAAGTTTTCTAAACCCACATTTAAAACACTGGCCCTCATGCATTACCCTCCCCACCCTGCTGAGACAGACTCCTGGGGGGTAGGACCACATACAGATTATGGCATGTGTACCTTCCTATTGCAAGATGACATTGGTGGTTTGGAAGTAGAAATAACAGATGGAAAATGGATTGAAGCAAAGCCCATACCAGGTACATAGAAGACACTTTTTATTTATCCCCGTTAAAACGTTACTTTTAAGAAAATTTTACCAAGGGTTCTTGTTGAATTTCTCCTGAGTTTTGGCTAAAATTGCAAAAAAAAATAGTCCCAAAAAGGGAGAGCTGGAAATTTTATACCATATATTAATATAAGAAAACAACATGCCAAGTTTATGACCTGCAAATGAGGTGGAGAGAAGCGGAGACTGGAAAATTATAAGTCTAGCAGCATTTGCATGGCTTTTAATTTTGTGGCTCTTGTTCCGTCAGGTGAAGCAAGACCTGAAAAGGGCGTCTGCTCTTGCAGGCTAGAGTTGATAAATTCACTGTCATAGTCGACATAGATAAAATAAGAGTTTCAACTGTTTCAACTAACTTTCAGGTACATTTGTGGTGAACCTGGGTGATTGCCTGCAGGCCTGGACCAAAGGACTCTACCGGGCAACAAGGCATCGCGTAAGACGGTCTATCAACACAGACAGATACTCAGTTCCATTCTTCTTTAACCCTAAGGGAGATTGCTTAATAGAGCCCATTGAAACTGATGCAACAAAAAATCTGACTATCATTACTGCGGTCAAGGGTTTGGACATGCCATTCCGGTTTGCTGATCTCAAAATGTCACTGTTGCAAAAGAGCCATGATTGGAGTAAAGATTCTCCAAGACCTGGGACAAAGTAGTAGAACATGGAAAACCCAACAATTGTCTCATAAAGAATGCATGTACTGAGTTATATGATTTTCCTTGTAGGGTTACATACCTGTATCAATCTTGTATCCAAAGGCTGCAGGCATTTGGTCACAATGAAGATGCCTATCTAACATGTTACTACTGTGCTGTCAGATAGCAAAAAAAAACCACCAGGCAGTAACCCATAAACAATTTGCTAGACAAAGATTCTTTTGGATTGATTAACGCCACAAACTCATGATTGAAACTGGAAGACATAATCAAACTTCCCTCAACAATAGATTCTGCCCTATTTGTAACTCTGGTATAATTGAAGACAAATTTCATTTTCACTTCCATTGTCCAAAATATTCAATCCCAAGGGAGAAATTCTACAATCAAATCCAACAAAATTTTGTCGACTTTAATCAGCTATCTTACACAGAATTAATAATTAAATTGATGAATTCACAGAACTTTTCCATAAATTCACATTTGTTGAAATTTGTCTCTTTATGTAATGATTTACGTACTAATTTGTTATCAAATTATGCTGATGACACTCGATTGACTGTGGTAATCATTGCATTGAATTATTATCGTTATAAATTGTAACTTTATGTTAAAGCTTTTGCAATGCTGTAACTACATAATTATAGTCATGCAAATAAAGCTTATGTTGTTGTTGTTCTTGTTCTGGCCTACTATGGAAAACATTTTCTCTGGACTGATTACATTCAGCAAGTATCTAGGCCTCCTGTTATAGGTTGTCATTTTCACAGAATTTATTACTTTCTGTAAACACGAAAACAATAACATTCTCTTGCGGAAAAGATTTAAGCAGGACAAAAGAAAATTTGAGCCCCGCAATATTGGAAACAGGGTTCGTACACATTTTTGAACAAAAAATTCAAGAACTTTTCAAGGACTTTCAAGAACACATTTCCCATTTTTCAAGGACTCCATTCAGTGCAAAAAAGGGCCTTGAGTCTATCTCTTTTTAAGTTCTTCCACAACATGAGTAATTTCATCCCAAAGGTCTTTCTGTGTACGCTCCTTTTTCTTTGGAGTTCTACCTAAACTATAAAGTTAGCACTGAAATTCAAGGACTTCCCTGCACCAACTGCAATTTTCAAGGACTTTCAAGGCCTTGAATTTTTATTTTGAAAATTCAAGGACTTTCAAGGTGCGTGCGAACCAAGTGGAAAGATTTTACAGCAGTGGCCATTGCAATATATAGATTATTGCGTTTCATACCTGTACCCACCCCCACCCCCACCCCCACCCCCCTGTTGAGGAACTATGAAATTCTTCAGGGGTAAGTTATAAAATTGAGGATTTCTTTAGGGGTAGAGTAAAAAAATATGGAATTAACTGGAGATGGGGCTTTGATTTTCACAAAATTCTGTAAGGGTACACCCATATTCTTTAGGGGTAAGACCCATATTCGTCAGGGGTAAAGATTTCCATATTGCCCCATACATTTATCACTATGCATACATGTTTCGACTCTGTTCATGTTAACTATTTGTGAGAAAAATTATGAAATCGTTGCAGACATAATAAATATGTAGGGTTATTAATGGAAATCTTACCAGAGCTTGTTTTCAACCAGGAAGGGTTAAGTCCCCAACCGAGAGGCATATGGATATTAAATGCAATGACTGCAATGGCCCAATTATCGCTACTTTTGACTTTGAGATCTGTTGCTGAAAGTTTACAGGTTACCTAATTTGCCCTTTCATTTTCGCTAAAATCATTAATAATATTTCCCCCAAAATATTGAAGTTCCTCTGGATAATTTTTAAAAAGTCTTTGCTATAAGAACTTTGTTTGGATGAGCTTCTGCTTAAAACTGATCATGAGTTGTTTGTTTCCAAAAGAACTCAATGATAAATGGCTCTTATTCCAGTGATACCTTGCGGTGTGTATAATGATAAGAAGCAGATATTCCTTCAAGATCGTGCGTGGATTTCACTTCGGAGAAAGAGTTCCCTCACCAATTATTCCTGCCAGACTTGCTGTAGTCTCTTTCACAACAAGACAAGCGAGCTTGACTTTTTCGCGGATCGAACGCAACCAATCAGAATTTAGCAGCACAGAAATTCGACCAATCAGCAAGCGAAGAAATTGACCAATGACGGACGTAAAATCTACATATATAATATTCAATCACCTTTGATTGACGCCATTGAGAAATTTTAACCGCATTGAATAGGAGAAACGAGGTAGAAAACATTTCATCACTGTTGAAAGTGAAAAATGGCTCGTACGAAGCAAACAGCACGTAAATCAACCGGAGGAAAGGCTCCGAGGAAACAGTTAGCGACTAAAGCAGCTCGTAAGAGCGCCCCATCGACCGGTGGAGTGAAAAAGCCTCATCGTTATAGACCCGGTACTGTCGCTCTTCGTGAAATTCGTCGTTACCAGAAGTCTACTGAATTGTTGATCAGAAAGCTTCCGTTCCAGCGACTTGTACGTGAAATTGCCCAAGACTTTAAAACTGATCTTCGTTTCCAAAGTGCTGCCATTGGCGCCCTACAAGAAGCCGCTGAAGCTTACCTGGTTGGTCTCTTCGAAGACACAAACTTGTGCGCTATCCACGCCAAGCGTGTAACAATTATGCCAAAGGATATCCAGCTTGCCCGTCGAATCCGAGGCGAACGTGCTTAAAGTCAACTTAAAATGTTTGCTGTACATAACTAGACTTTTATGGAAGTTTTCAAGCAAGAATCTGACTGAACTTATCATAATATACATGCGCTAGTGGCGAACGATCAAAGACATTATTCAAAATAATCATTTCTGTGTATACGTTTCCCGTTATTTTCTCTGTAACTTTCGTTAATTTTTAGTTTGAGTTGAATCAAATCATCTCATTGTAGTTGATTTTTGGCCTGTAAACTTGTGTGTTTTTAAGAGTTTTACCCTGGAAGTGTTGTTTTAAGTTGTCCGTTGTTATTTTGGCGCATTTTATTCTGGGCGACAAGGCGTCTTTGTTTCCCAAGAATTTAAAAAACGCTCACTGCCATAAAAAGCCCGTGTTCGTTGTCGAACGACTGAGATGTTGCTCATGGCCGTATTGGGACAAAAATAATCCCGTGTCGTTACTTCAGTAGTGCAAACTGGCAACCTTTCTGTAAATTAATTATATACATTTTTAACTAACCCTTATTTAAGAGGCAAATAAAACTGTCTTGTAGTAAACCAGTGTACAGTGACGTTTATAGTAGCTTTAGAACATAAACTTTCGCTATAAATACATGCTCACGGTTCGGAAGGAAATGTTAGCGGCGATTTCTTCATAGTCGATCCAGAGCGTGAAATTCGAAAAAATCTGGCAGCGACCTGTGAATCGATGCCCAAAACGGCAAAAGCTAAAAAGTTTTTAGCGAAGGAAAGCTGTAAAGAGCAATCGGGGAATTGACATCACCAGCCATTATAAGCCGTCGTGTGCGGCAGCGGCTGTTTCATTTTTGCGGGCATAGTCTCCTTCGATCTTCCTAGAAAATAGGAAGATCGAAGGAAACTGCTTTCTAGGAAGATCGAAGGAGACTGCTCCCTGCGGAGGATGGTATCTTACTTTGAGCAAAGTACAGTGATTCACGAGTGATCGACAAAAGAAACACGAGTTTTCCTTTTTCGTAATTGTTCGTCACCACTTCGGAATTCTTCGGTTTCTCAGTTCCAGTCTCCCAGAGGCAACGGCATCAACAAAGATGGCGGCCACCCGGTTTTGTAGGTTCAGAGTCCCATCTGCTTCTGTGAAAGTTACGACAAAAGTATTCGGCAAAACAGGGATTTTTAACCTAGCAAGGCAGATCTATGTAAGATTTCATTTATGACTTATTGTCTATACCTGTTTTTCATTTTCTGTGTACTTTCTTTATCAAACAAATGCCCTGGTTGAACCGTTCTCAAAATGATGTGACCCCGTTGCAGGTTCCAGGTACATGGAAACGTTCATACTCTACAGAGGTAAGTTACCTCGCTGAACCAATTTGAAATAAACTTTTGATTCTTCTATACCAACCTGGCCATCTGCTTTGAACTTTATGTTGTTCACAAACAGCATGCATGTTAATTATAAAACCTCAAGTAATATTTTAAAATATTTCTCCCCGGGATTGTCAAACCCAGAGCACGTTTTTTTTTTTACTATTATTACAACAAACAGTACTCAATTTAAGGGAGAATTAGCACAGAACCATAAGTAGGAGGAGCTGCTGAGAAGAGACCTTGACACTCGACACAGCTTCTAGTAGATTTAACGAGGAATGTACTGATATTGCTGTGAGCATGTTCAAAAGCCATTTATATTGTAATCTTTTTCTAGTCCAGAAAGGTAACACTTATTCCTGGTGATGGAATAGGACCTGAAATTTCCGATGCTGTCAAAGATGTATTTGCTGCTGCCAAGGTTTGTGCTATTCTTTCTGTACATTTTTTGTTATGTTACACCATAACATAATTTATTACCTAACAAGCTATTTTTATGCCCATGTCACGGGCTAACCCCAGAGTTAGGACTTCATGTTTTAGCTTGTTATTATAGAACATTTGAGTTGTCACATGTATTGTGTTATTTTGAACATTTTGACCCTTCAGATAAGAGACAGAACCAAGCTAAAATTTCTTGAGCCCTGTTGATATGAATCTCTCATTGTGAATTGACTTTTAGGTTCCTATTGAATGGGAAGAAGTCACAGTGGCCCCTATTCTTCTTCCTGATGGTAAAACAACCATCCCAGCTGCAGCAATAAACTCTATGAATAAGAACAAGATTGGACTCAAAGGTACCTTTACTATAACTATGATAAGACAAAAAATATAATAAATTATTAGTTACTACAAAGAAGTGGTTATTGCCCATTTTGATTAATTTTTTTTTATTTTGAGCAATATTTATTCAGGGGTGCCCAGTTCAGCGAGGCTGGTTTGAATGGGGTCCTGATGAAAAGGAAACAACAGTTGAAAATTGACGTCAAAGTACAGTAGAATATAAAATTCATCTTATAAGTCATAAAGCAAACTTCATGCTGAAAGAAATAAGGTTAAATATTCCTTTTAACTTCACCATTGTATGGCCATTTTATTGGTTTTTACGAGCTCCGTTTGGTTTAGAAACCTGGCCTTAGTTACCAGGCCTGTTAAAGTGTTAGCAACTCCTGCTATTAGGATTGTGATTAAATTGCTTTTGAGTTTTGAGTTTTAAGCAAAACCTTTTTGGACAAGAACTCTTGAGTTTCGGACAACAAAAATTAATATAGTGCTTTTCTGAAGGACAAGTGGATAAGAAAATTTTTCTCTTACTCTGATTTTGTCCTAATTTACTAGATAAGGTAAGGGATTGTTGAGGAGAGATAATAAGAGACTACAGAATTCCTAAGCCCATCTGTTTGACTTTATTCATTGCTCTCAAAGTGCAAACATTTTGTGCTTTGATCATTTTTTTGCATGGCTTTAAAAGTCAAGCATTTTTTTCACTTGTGGAAAAACTGAAAATCTCTTTGGAAGTTCCCCAAGATAAAGCCAAAAAAGGGATAGGGCTAGAGAAGGCAAATATAATGAATTGCCTTCAGTTTTCCACCACAGTTTGAAACAAAGTAGCTAAGAATATTTAGCTCAAGCAGTGATGTAGAAACAGATTGAAAATGTTGTAAATGTTGTTTGCAGTGTTGTGATTCCCTGATATATTTTACTGTTTATACATATCCAAGAGAAGGACTTCTGTTGGATACACGTAATTGGTGTAAACAGTTATGTGAAATTCACACCCTTTAATTGGTTGACTAGAATGGTTCAAATGTCTAGGCTTAGCAACAACAACCACAACTATTTTCTTCTAGAGTATAGATGTGAGTCTTAAGAATGTTTGTTTTACTGTGATAGGACCACTGGAGACAAAGATTGGTAAAGGACATGTGTCTATGAATTTGACTCTCAGAAGGTTAGAAGGGTTAATATATTAACTTAAGAGGTCTAATTTACCGTACTTAATACTTGAGATGCCACAATACAAACATAAAACCTGTGACAATTAAACCCAATTGGATTGGAGGTATGATTGTTTCTTAATTTACATAGAGGATTGATGTCAAGACTCATTAAGCCTTTGCAGTTTTTGGCCTCATCTCAAGCCCTGTTAGGAATAGCTTAAATAAATTGAAACGAATAGTAAATGTTAGTGACAATGATGATATTGTTTTACATGTATTTGATTGTACATTTGTATAAGGAGTAATAATCCAATTTTTTATCCCCATCTAGTTAGAGGAAAGGGAAAATGATTGTGTTGAGGGTGCTAGTAAAATTCACTTTAAAACAAGCCTTGCTTTTTGACATTGTCTTCCTTCTCCAGGATTTTTAATCTGTATGCCAATGTACGGCCTTGCCGGTCCATAGAAGGCTATCCCACAGCATACGATGACGTTAATCTGGTCACAATTAGAGAAAACACCGAGGGAGAATACAGTGGCATAGAGCATGTGGCAAGTCAATAGCTCAAAATTTGTTGAATATAAAATTAATTATTTGTTAAATTTGATGGCATTTAATATTATAAATAATATGCTCAGATATTTTGCAAGTTGCCTAGTATTTGGTGTGTGGAAAACTACCATCATGTATAAGCAGTGACCTAAATGTCCACAAATAGTTATTTATGGTACATCAAACACTCAAATAAAGGATGTATTGTTCCATGTAATAACAGGTCTGTTAGCAAGTTTTTAAGTTGCCAGGTATATGCAGCTAGTAGGTGGGAAACTGAACAGCTGAAAAGTTCTTTATGTTGTATTTTACTTATGTTTCGCCTCAAAGTAGCCAGGGGTCATGCTCATGGTTGCCGAGGGAAAAAAAATCACCCCACAAATTGGAACTAGTCCAGTGATTTTGTTGACTCTTTGCTCCATCAGCAACAGAAACATGACGTAATAGTGAGCTTAACCAAAGATGCGTTTGAGCAATGTACATCAACCAGGCCCCAGTTGTTCAAAAGGTTGATAACGCTATCCACCGGATAAATCACTTACCACTGGATAGCGCAATTGGTTTTCCTAATACTTATCGGTTGGATAGTGATTTATCCAGTGGATAGCGCAATGTGAACTTTTTGCATTCTTGGGCGGTGGTTTTGCCCAGATTTTTGAGTAAATCATCAAGATAAGAGTAAAGAAATCTAGCAATACACATTCCAAAATGAAAGAATCAAGGTATAAATTGAAAGGGAAAAAGGCCTCACCTCCTGTTGATGTGCATCCCTCAAAAACACCTTTGCTTTAAGTGCCTCCCGGGGGACTTAAGAATGGAATGATAGAGTGGGTTACAGATTGTGTTTATGAGGCTGTTTTAAGGTGAGGTGAAACACCTGACTAAGTAAGTGTCCCATGTTTTTCCAAATTGTTCTCTTCTTTCACAAGCAAAGACAAGGCAGCCAAGTTTGAAGTAAAATGCAGCCATTCATCAGAAGTCACTTAGCATATTTCTTTTCAGACACTATTTAACCTGTGAACGTAGAGGTTCTGGTCGTTGCCTCTCTCCACCCACAAAGTAACTTACGTTTTGGGTGGAGAGAAGTAGTGACTAGAAATATATCTGTGTTTCCAGGCTAGACACCATTTAATTTTTAGATTTTTTTTTTCAGAAATATCTCTGCAACATCAATGGGGCAAATTGATAACATTTTATTTGCTTGGTAGGTTGTTGATGGTGTAGTGCAAAGTATTAAACTGATCACAAAGGAAGCTTCACAACGAGTTGCAGACTTTGCATTTAGCTTTGCTAAGGCAAATGGCCGACGTACTGTTACTGCTGTACATAAAGCCAACATCATGTAAGTATGAAACATTATTGTAAATCATTTGATGAAAAATGTAATGCAGTTACTTATTGTCTTTCTTTTGAGTGCCTATTTTGTAAAACCAAGTGTGCATAGAAAGTAGTGTTCTGTAGCCCGGGGCTAGTGGATTTTGTTATCAGGCTAGTGATTTCTATTATTAAATTGCCCGATAGGCAAGTGAAGTTTTTTGGGGGAACTCAAATTACAGAAGAACTGTAACCAATGCTCATCAAAAATTTTTTTCAGGCTAGTTGAAATGACTTTTGGGCTAGTACGTGCTAGCTATAGTTTGCCCGAATGACAAGCTGTAAAACTGACTTTCGTTGCGCCCTGAAAACCTAAAACAGTTCATCAAATCCAAGTCCTTTAGAGACATCTGTCCAACCCCCTGCTGAAACTTGCCTTAATTTTGCCATGATGCTTGTACAGTTAAACCTTTATTAAACAGCCCTCTCCTAAGCGGCCACCTCCTATTAACCCTTTAAACCCTAAGATCAAAATTTGAATTCTCATTCATTACCCCTATTCATTTCCTACAGAGGTAGTGGGGAGAAGTTGTTAAAATATCACGCAAATTCATCTTGTGCACATGATCATGTCTGTAATTTTCATGACCACTCTGTTTTACAAAGCATTGATATTTCAGGGAGAAATTTGATGCTGATCACTTATAGGGCTTAAAGGGTTAAGTGACCAGTTATCAAAGTCCCCAAGTAATTGTAGAAGAGAATGGGAAATTAAACCTCTGCGGTCCCCACCTCTATTAAGCGGCTGCAGCCACCTTTTTGCCGTCCCAATGAGAGTTCTCGCATTGTTGTCACCTCTATTAAGCAGCCATCAAGCACTTGATACACTTTGTTTAGCTTTTTCTTTAAGAACATGATGAAGGAAAATACACTGCGAGATACAAAGCGACAACTGATTGTGGACCAGAAATGCTGGTCTCATCATGAGACAGTTTGTTTCGAAATAAAGTGATGTTTCTGATAAATATTATGCTAATTTATAATGAGCACCCAACCCCATTAAGTGGCCACTTAATAGAGGTTCAATTGTATTTTTGACCCCCTTTTGGGAAGTTGCAAATCTGTCACTTCATAGAGTGGCCACTTTGAGTATAAGTTTGTTGTAAACTTGACGCCTTTAACTCCTAAAAGTGATCAACCTTTAATTTCTCATACTACGTCTACTAACTAAGATTTCCTAGTCACTCAAGACAAAAGGCAAGGTGCCAGAAGCCACTGGGCACTGCAAGAGCATAGCCCTTTAGAGTTTAAAGAAAGGACCTCCACTGTCTATTTTGTTCTTTATTCACATTATTACAGTGAAAATTGGTCAAGTGGTCAAGTATTGCCAAGTAGAATAAGTCGATTATTTAAATCTTGAGTTCATTTTTTGCTTCAATATTGCATTCTTTAGTTGTTAAAAATTCACACCAAGCCTTGATTTATAACTGGAATACTGTTTGGATTTAAGTGAGACATCAGTCATGAAAGTGTACAGAGCACCAGAGTTCTAGATTGGGAATTCCTGTTTGTTTGTTTATTTGTTTATTTTTCCCTCCATTTATTTATTTTACAAGCCATTTATATTGTATTACAGGATTGAAGAATTAAAGATGCTATTTGTAGAATTAAATATCAGGTTACAAGAATAAATGGAGAGGGTAGGATAAAGTTATACTAATTACTTGCCCTTTGATTAAATTACAGTTTTATTTAGGTTAAAAGAGAAAAAAAGAGAAAACTATAAACTATGAAAAATAATGAAAAATATTCAAAAGAGAGGAAAAAAGAAAAGCACATACACACGCACACGCATAAGAAAAAAATGTAACATTTGAGAGTCAGTGTGGCGATGATTAATACTGAGCAAGATAATAGTTGAAAAGTGCTCTTTTAAACAATTTTTTAGTTGTTTTTTCACGTATAGATAAAGGAATTCCTGTTATAATTTTGCAGCATCCTGGGGGAAAAGTTTACACTTTTGAACAGTATTATGCTTTTTTCCATGTATGATGAAGTCATTAATTCTTCAAGTCATACCTTTTAAGTGTTTTCAAAAGAGATATTCAGGATTTCACTCAAATCTTGGACATTTTTCATTTCAATCTTGTAGACAGCTGTCGCACTAACAATTGTTTAACCTATTGAACTCTGCGCCTGTGCCTTTAAATATTGATGCCTTTTATCCAATTATAAGAACTCCATTCTTAAATCAATTAAAGAAATGAGTTCTTATCATTTTGAAGTTTTAAATCCTTCAACTAAACAATGTGATATTGAAACCAATAAAGAACTCAATTCTGAAATACAGTATAATCAAGTTCAATTCTTCCTAGGAACGCTTGACCACTTTTCACGGTAGCTACGGTTGTAATAATTAACTATGAGTTGTAACAATTCATCCTGATGGTTTTGCTTTGTGATTTGCTGATAACTTAGGAGAAAATCTGATGGTCTGTTTCTGCAATGCTGTCGAGAGGCTGCTGAGAAGAACAAAGATGTCAGATATAATGAGATGTATTTGGATACCACTTGTCTTAATGTGAGTGTAGAAGGCAATAAATTACTTAACTACTATGGTAACCATGAGGTGTATGATAGGACCATTGCAGCCTTTGCACTGTGTTGCATGAAGGCAGTCAATAGACCAGGATATGGACCAAGAAATAAAATTTGCTACCCAACCGAAGCTAATAAACCTGGTTGACCTGTGCAGTCTCTTAGTCCTGGGCTTGCTGTACAGTAGATTGCACTCTCTCTTATTTTGGTAGGTCACATTATTATGCAATCAGTTGGACCCCATGCACACCTCCTGATGAATGTCTTCAGCCCACTGGGTCCATTTAATATGGCCAAATGTCAGATTATCTCACGGATATTCCAACAGTACAGTAATGATCAGTGCATTCCCATTTTTATCGCCAAGAGTATGTCTTGCATAACAAAATTTAATGCAGTTAGAAACAAACAACAACAAAGAGCACCACCTCGCCTGTGTAGCAATTGTTTCCTGTGGTTTCAGAGCAAAGAACAAGGAACTAGAGTCAAAGAACGCGCAAAAAATGTCACTCTCGTTCCATTTTTCGTGAGGCCAAAACCGAAAATCCCGTTCGTTGGTCTTTCTTTGCTAAGAAACCAAACGGAAACGCTTGCTACGCAGGCGAAGCACCACATCATGTCATTGGTCAGCAGTCAGTTTAGTGAACCAGGTACAGACAGACTTGTTTGTGCATGCAACAGCTCCATTTACTTGGTACAGCATTTCATGGCGGCCTCTGGGCCCCGGGGGGTGGGGGGGGGGTACTTAAGGAATTTCTGGTTGGGGATGTGCCGCTGGGACCCTGGAACCCTTAACCTATACCAGAGCTAGTTCAACTGAATTTTGCCACCCTATACTAGAGTAAACTCCCCAAATCCCCCTATCCTAGAGTAGCTGTTTCCCTTGTCTAGATAAAATCTTCAACCAACTGATCAGTTTCCTGAAAAATGATACCCTATTCTAGACCCAAACGCTCTGATTTATATATCCTATCCTAGAGTATATATCCTATCCTAGAGTAAACTGCTTGAAAACCATACCCTTCACCCTTCACGGCACATACCTATATAGCCCATATATGGCAGTACCCCCCCCCCCCCGGGCCCTGGGGCTTGTTTAGCCTTAGTATCTTGCATTTACCCACAAATCTCCATCCCTTTATTTTTCTACTAAAGTTAGTTAAACAGGTGCCTGGTTATGTTTGCATAGGAGCTCAGGGCTGTGAGACGCAGATTTACCAGCTATTGTGGCATTACTGTATGTAGGGGTTGGCTTTGTCAAAAGTGGAAGCCCTGGACATACCAGGCATTCACCACTACCATAGTCTCTCCCTCTACTATGCGATGCAGTAGTATTATCATTTAGCATTTCTTTATTGTCAGATTGTAAAAGATCCTAAAGAATTTGATGTTATGGTGATGCCAAACTTATATGGAGATATTTTAAGGTAAACTTATTAATAACGATGACGACAACGAGAACGACGGAAGACGACGACGACAACGACGATAGTTTTTAAGGTTTTGTCGTATGAGACAGAGTATTTCCGAACTGTTTCTGATAGCAGTTCGTCAATATCTTCATGAACTTCAACGTCTCCACCAACAACATCCTCCCCTGAAGCCGCCGTATTGAAAATTGTGCCTGTGGGAGACTAAGTTCGATAGTTTTTGACACGTTCTGATTGGTTCTTTGTTTTGCTGTTACATGTATGTCGAAGTGTGTTTACACTAGTTTTGACCTTGCATAACCGAAACATAACAACAGAACGACATAAATAAACGAACGAACGACGTAACCACCTCCTTATGTCGTTATGGTAATGTCGTTATGTCGCAAGTGTGGACCAGGCTTTATAACGTTCTTAACATTATAAAGAATAATTATTATTAAAGACTCGACTTTTTTTAAAGTAATATCAAGGTTTTTATATTATTACAACTGACATAATCTTTCTTTTCTTCCATTATAGCGATTTGTGTGCAGGTTTAATCGGTGGGTTAGGAGTCACGCCCAGTGGAAATATTGGAGCAGATGGAGTAGCCATATTTGAATCAGTGAGTGTGTTGTTCTTTGTGTTGTGGAGTTGCAGGAAGGAGATGTTTGCTCTTTGAGCATCAGTTCTATTAAAGCAGGAAAGGAGTGATCGGACTATTTATTAATTAGATATACAGTGTAAAGTAGTTGTGCGCCTGATTCTGGGCTCAATTCTTTAGTACTGGAACAATATTATACTACGGGTCAGTTACCGGTCGTTTCGATACAAAGCTGTTTCGATACAAGTGGCTTCGTTACAGCTTTATTCATTCGAGGTGTAAATACTTCCACGTATTTGGCTTAAAGAACGAAGATATTCACCCAAAATGTTTTCTTGTTCACTCGCAAACTATACTTGAAGTGAACAATCTTTTTGTGCAATTTTAATGCTTAAGTTTGTATCGAAATGACTTTGTATCGAGACGATTCCTAGGGGTCTAATCACTGAGTAAAGCTAAGCTGAGCTAATTGTTTTACCTTCCTTTCTTCTAGTGAGGCTCTGCCTCACATCGCTTCCACTTAATCTCACTCTATCAGAGTGAAAAAATAAAAAAACACTGGGAGTCGGTTATTTGAGCAAAGTCCAAGCCATGACGCGGGTTAAGAAGCTCAGTGGCCTGTAAAAGTTGTTTACAAGCGGCGTATTTTTAGTAGATTAATATCCTTGTTAGCCCGGCTGTAAACCTCCCTGATGCTTGGGCAGTGGCTTTAAGCCGTTGGCCTTGTCTCCCTCATCCTTCTTTCATTATATTAGTCAGTTCGATAGAGGATTTAAAAGAACCCACGCTACCGTTCGATAAGACTTTTTTTATCCCATATCATAAAGAATACAGCCAATCAGAAAGCTAGAAACCCGTTGCATATTCAACGGTATGGAGCGGGTATTATATTTCTTCCTTCTCATTGGCTGAGAGCCCACCACGTGACCTGCAAATAACTGCCTACAAATAATGGTCTGCTCGTGCGCAAACTCGTTCAACTGTGTTTGGCGGCAAATAATATTCTGCTCATGCTTAAATTAAACCACGCTTTCCTTCTTCTTGAGATCGCTCTTGCATGAAGATGGCAGATCGCTTCGCTTACCTTTCAGCGTTTAAAAAGCAAACTCGGTGATCGAATGATAAAACAATTATTTGACTCGGTTATCGCAAAATATCGTGATTTGTCAGTGTCTCGCAGTCAATTATTTGCCTTAGCCTTTGATATTTTACTCAACCTCGTCCAATATCTGTTAAGTATTTCACGAAAAAATCCCTGCGATGCTCGCGGCCTTTACGTTTTCTCGCCGAAAACAAAGCAGATGCCGACAGCAGAAACTTTCATTCTACAAAAATTGCCAGAAGCAACTTTAAAGAACACTATTAAACCCAAGTTTTAACTACCATTCGGACTTCTAGAAAGTCAAAGTTGCAAAAGCGATACAAAACGAAATAAAACAGACTACAACAGAAAAATCTATTTGTCGAGAGCAGCAAAAACAAACCAGTTAATCCGTGTTGAGATGGATCTGCATTTCAAAACAGCAAGTCTACCGAAATCCCGCGAGAAACGTTCGACAGATGTGTTACCATTTTCTTCAGGACTCAGGTAAAGTAGACAGAAGTGAACACGACCTTTATTCATTGATAAGCTGTCAATTATTTAAACATTGTTGTTTACAGATTACATTTATTGTTAAAAGTGACTTTCTTTTTGTTTACCTTTTGTAATCTTTAAGGCCTGATCGCGGGTTACTTCATTATTAAACATGTTTAGGTGTAGTCGTGTAATTCTTGTTACCAACCTCATTGGTAGCAATGGTAAATAATATAATCATATGTCTTTAGTGGTATTTTGTAACTGGCGATTGAAATTTTAACCTCAGAAACATGCCTTCAGAACTGAAATTTTTGTGTGTGTTCTTGCAAATCTAAATGAATGAAGGATATCGATAAAGTTAACTTTAAAGATGAAGGTATTGGTAATGGGGCGATGGCGATGGCATTAGCGACGGCACACGGCCACGGCCACGGTAATGGCGATGGCGATAGCGTTGGTAATAATTAGTATAATAAATCTGACTAGGTGCTGCTAGTCAAAGGTTAATGGCCTCGATCATTAAACTCTCCATTCCTTTACTAGCCTGAGATCAGACCCAATTTTAGTAGCTTCTATGCATTCTCTCCTACGTCAGGGGCACCCAACGACAATTTTCGGAAGAATATCTGTTCGGAAGACGATTTGAGATCTAGAATTCTCGGAACATTTGTTGTAAAATTTCTTGCTTCCATTCCTCTCCTAGGATTTTCGAACAAATAAAAAATGGTATACTTGCCCATTTTTAGCTAATTTTTACCCTAAAAAGTTCACCTAGAATTTTCGGGAGCCTATTTTCTGGCTAAAATTTTCGAAAAGGTAAGTTTTGACCCCTATAATTTTCGGATCACTAGACTTTCAGCTAGGAAATCCGAACAGATGAAAAATATTTAGGGGATAAAAATATGCCTATGTCTACCGTTTAAATACTAAAATACATTTAATAATGCTATGTTTAAGTGGTTATGAACTATATTCTCGTTGGGTGCCCCTGCTATGTGGTCGCGCAAAAATTGGGCTCTCTTTTTCATTTACGAAGCGAAACGAAAATAGAGCCTGATCTCAGATTACCCTTTACTATTGAGAATGGACGAGTGTTTCATAAAGCATATTGTCAAAAACCGTAATGCATTTTGGTTTTTATTGTTTACAGGTTCATGGCACAGCCCCCGATATTGCAGGCCAGGACAAAGCCAACCCCACAGCTCTCCTACTAAGTGCTGTTATGATGCTCCGGCATATGGAACTTCACTCACATGCAGACAGTGTAGAGGGAGCAGTACTGGAGACTATCAAAGAAGGACAAGTAAGAATTTACCTGATCCCTAACAGTCCAAAGCTCTCTCCTCCCCAGAGGCTAAAAAAGTAGTAAGTGCGAAAGGAGCGATGAAGGAGAGAAAAGGCAAAGTTCTTTTCTTCTCTCTCCCCTACCCATCACTCCGCGCTCTGTTTTTTCTGCTCTCCCCAGCCTACCTGTGACACAGTAGGGAGTTTGAGCAAAGACGACGGCGACGGCGACGGCAACGAGAACGTCAAAAAATCAATAGGTTTATCAAGTAAAACATCAAGTTTGCACTTGCATCACACTTTTTTGTACATTTCTTTGCCGTTTATAGAGGACGTAAACAAGTGACGAAGAAATTTTCTTACTCTTTCTAAACTCGAGTGCAGTGCCCAAGAAATCAACTCCAGGGAAGTTTGCCTCCATTAGACAATTTTAGCGAATTGGAATAAACGCGACAAAGTCTGAAAAAACGTTTTCGCTGCCGTCGCCGTCATCGATGCTAAAACTCCCTAGAGAGTCCTCTGCGGTGGAGAGAGAGTTCAAGAATTGTAAAAATTCAAGAAATGCACCAGATTTCATGTTGTTTAGTTCTGAGGAATATATAGCGTTATGTGAAAATCCTGCTAGTGTAGGGGGTGTGTGCGAGTAACTCGCTCGTTACACGAGGTGGTACCGAGAGTCTACTTCTTTCATCTTGGTTTTTGCTTCTCTTTGCTTCCTCATCTTCTTAACTCCTTCTCTTACCAACTCGTAACTCTCTTAATCTTCTCTTCCTCTCTTACTATTAAGGCCCGGTTCAGACGCCGAACTTTTCATGAGCCGAACCTAATTCGAATTAAGGCCGACCCAAATTATTTAGACCGGCTGAATTGATTCAGACGCCGATCTTAATAATTCCAGCCGAAATAAATTCAAAACGAGAAAAAGGCTCATTTCGGTCAAACTACGTACAAAATACGTTAATAGTAATTTAGGCATTAGGTTCGGTGCATGAAAAGTTCGGCGTCTAAATCAAAGCTGTTCCAAATTAAGTCGCTCCAAAGGAGAAATTCCCGGCCGGGTCAGGCGAAAAGAACGGCTGAGCCGTTCCATATTAAAATAGGCGTTCCTAATTGATCCAGAGGCCGAACTTTTCATGTACTTAATTCAATGTATTAGGTTCGGCTCATGAAAAGTTCGGCGTCTGAACCGGGCCTAAGTCAAATAGTAACGATTTTTATAGCCAAAGGTGGACATGTTTGGGCTAGCTGACCGTGGGAATAAAAACAAAGTAAAGGAGCTCGGTGTGGGTAGTGTTTTGGTACAACTGAATGTACACGGCTATGATCGGCAAGAAGCTACAGACCAATGAAAAGCTAAAATGCTTGTTAAAAAACCCAAACAGGAACTTCAACTGGACTTATGAACTAAGGTCACAAACACGACCACCTACAGTTTGTATGAAAAACTAACCTCTGACAATGGCAAGCGAAGAATATTCTTAAAATGGCAGTAAGTAAATTCGCCAGCTAAGCAAAAATTCGAGTACTAGTAAAATCATAGAGCAAAACAGGAAATCACCCATGACAACATCAAGACAAACCTTGACCCACTTAATGAGACAAAAACCAAACTTAAAAAATGAGACAGGTCTAAAAAGTGAAATACTTCACAACACTAGCTTGTAAACGCGAGAACTTTTCCGACTCTCGCTTCTTCGTCTGCGTTCGCAGTCTTAAAACTCGTCAATAAAATGAATTATTTCAATGGTTAGATCGCGAGAAGGTTTTTGTCCTCAGACTCAAAAGTTGGAGCTCTGTTGCATGAGCATCACTGAAGGAGATGCTAGTTTTTCGTAATATTCAATATCCTGTTCTAGTCGGTTTTCTCTCTCCCATCTGCGGACTAACTTAGCCCTGTGGCTCTCCCGTATTCTGAGATGGGACGAGAAGGAACGGAGAGGAACTTGTTTCTCTAATTTATCGCCTCCTCCCCTGCCCTTTGTCCAAATTTCTTGCTCCTTACATTGGTACCCTTCCGGAAATGGCGTCATGTAAAGGAATCCTGAAATAATTAGTGACCTGATTGTCTTAAGTTGTTATGTAGCTGAAGTTTAACCCCGACAATTCGCGCTGGCTCGAGCTCTCAATGGCTACGTCTAGGTCACAAGACCGTATCGAAAATGAAGAGTCCCTCTGCTTCGGGGACTGACATAAACGCCAGTAAAATGCTCTCTACGAAACTATTCGTTGTGCTTTCTTTCTTTTAATCTCACTGTAAAATAATCCTGTTTTGTGCTCTCTCGCCGTCTGATATCATTACCCTCCATCTTGCAGTGTTTATGTTTAAGTTCTCATGACGCGGGTTAAGAAGCTCAGTGGCCTGTAAAAGTTGTTTACAAGCGGCGTATTTTTAGTAGATTAATATCCTTGTTAGCCCGGCTGTAAACCTCCCTGATGCTTGGGCAGTGGCTTTAAGCCGTTGGCCTTGTCTCCCTCATCCTTCTTTCATTATATTAGTCAGTTCGATAGAGGATTTAAAAGAACCCACGCTACCGTTCGATAAGACTTTTTTTATCCCACATCATAAAGAATACAGCCAATTAGAAAGCTAGAAACCCGTTGCATATTCAACGGTATATAGCGGGTATTATATTTCTTCCTTTTCATTGGCTGAGAGCCCACCACGTGACCTGCAAATAACTGCCTACAAATAATGGTCTGCTCGTGCGCAAACTCGTCTAACTGTGTTTGGCGGCAAATAATATTCTGCTCATGCTTAAATTAAACCACGCTTTCCTTCTTCTTGAGATCGCTCTTGCATGAAGATGGCAGATCGCTTCGCTTACCTTTCAGAGTTTAAAAAGCAAACTCGGTGATCGAATGATAAAACAATTATTTGACTAGGTTATCGCAAAATATCGTGATTTGTCAGTGTCTCGCAGTCAATTATTTGCCTTAGCCTTTGATATTTTACTCAACCTCGTCCAATATCTGTTAAGTATTTCACGAATCCCTGCGATGCTCGCGGCCTTTACGTTTTCCCGCCGAAAACAAAGCAGATGCCGATAGCAGAAACTTTCATTCTACAAAAATTGCCAGAAGCAACTTTAACGAACATTATTAAACCCAAGTTTCAACTACCATTCGGACTTCTAGAAAATCAAAGTTGCAAAAGCGATACAAAACGAAATAAAACAGACTACAACAGACAAATCTATTTGTCGAGAGCAGCAAAAACAAACCAGTTAATCCGTGCTGAGATGGATCTGCATTTCAAAACAGCAAGTCTACCGAAATCCCGCGAGAAACGTTCGACAGATGTGTTACCATTTTCTTCAGGATTCAGGTAAAGTAGACAGAAGTGAACACGACCTTTATTCATTGATAAGCTGTCAATTATTTAAACATTGTTGTTTACAGATTACATTTATTGTTAAAAATGACTTTCTTTTAGTTTACCTTTTGTAATCTTTAAGGCCTGATCGCGGGTTACTTCATTATTAAACATGTTTAGGTGTAGTTGTGTAATTCTTGTTACCAACCACATTGGTAGCAATGGTAAATAATATAATCATATGTCTTTAGTGGTATTTTGTAACTGGCGATTGAAATTTTAACCTCAGAAACATGCCTTCAGAACTGAAATTTTTGTGTGTTCTTACAAATCTAAATGAATGAAGGATATCGATAAAGTTAACTGTAAAGATGAAGGTATTGGTAATGGGGCGATGGCGATGGCATTAGCGACGGCACACGGCCACGGCGACGGTGATGGCGATGGCGATAGCGTTGGTAATAATTAGTATAATAAATCTGACTAGGTGCTGCTAGTCAAAGGTTAATGGCCTTGATCATTAAACTCTCCATTCCTTTACTAGCCTGAGATCAGACCCAATTTTAGTAGCTTCCATGCATTCTCTCCTACGTGGTCGCGCAAAAATTGGGCTCTCTTTTTCATTTACGAACCGAAACGAAAACAGAGCCTGATCTCAGATTATCCTTTACTATTGAGAATGGACGAGTATTTCATAAAGCATATTGTCAAAAACCGTAATGCATTTTGGTTTTTATTGTTTTCAGGTTCATGGCACAGCTCCCGATATTGCAGGCCAGGACAAAGCCAACCCCACAGCTCTCCTACTAAGTGCTGTTATGATGCTCCGGCATATGGAACTTCACTCACATGCAGACAGTGTAGAGGGAGCAGTACTGGAGACTATCAAAGAAGGACAAGTAAGAATCTGCCTGATCCCTAACAGTCCAAAGCTCTCTCCTCCCCAGAGGCTAAAAAAGTAGTAAGCGCGAAAGGAGCGATGAAAGAGAGAAAAGGCAAAGTTCATTTTCTTCTCTCCCCTACCCATCACGCCGCGCTCTGTTTTTTCTGCTCTCCCCAGCCTACCTGTGACACAGTAGGGAGTTTGAGCAACAACGACGGCGACGGCGACGGCGACGGCGACGGCAACGAGAACGTCAAAAAATCAATAGGTTTATCAAGTAAAACATCAAGTTTGCACTTGCATCACACTTTTTTGTACATTTCTTTGCCGTTTATAGAGGACGTAAACAAGTGACGAAGAAATTTTCTTACTCTTTCTAAACTCGAGTGCAGTGCCCAAGAAATCAACTCCAGGGAAGTTTGCCTCCATTAGACAATTTTAGCGAATTGGAATAAACGCGACAAAGTCTGAAAAAACGTTTTCGCTGCCGTCGCCGTCATCGATGCTAAAACTCCCTAGAGAGTCCTCTGCGGCGGAGAGAGAGTTCAAGAATTGTAAAAATTCAAGAAATGCACTAGATTTCATGTTGTTTAGTTCTGAGGAATATATAGCGTCATGTGAAAATCCTGCTAGTGTAGGGGGTGTGTGCGAGTAACTCGCTCGTTACACGAGGTGGTACCGAGAGTCTACTTCTTTCATCTTGGTTTTTGCTTCTCTTTGCTTCCTCATCTTCTTAACTCCTTCTCTTACCAACTCGTAACTCTATTAATCTTCTCTTCTTCTCTTACTATTAAGGCCCGGTTCAGACGCCGAACTTTTCATGAGCCGAACCTAATTCGAATTAAGGCCGACTCAAATTATTTAGACCGGCTGAATTGATTCAGACGCCGATCTTAATAATTCCAGCCGAAATAAATTCAAAACGAGAAAAAGGCTCATTTCGGTCAAACTACGTACAAAATACGTTAATGGTAATTTAGGCATTAGGTTCGGTGCATGAAAAGTTCGGCGTCTAAATTATTAAGTCGCTCCAAAGGAGAAATTCCCTGCCGGGTCAGGCGAAAAGAACGGCTGAGCCGTTCCATATTAAAATAGGCGTTCCTAATTGATCCAGAGGCCGAACTTTTCATGTACTTAATTCAATGTATTAGGTTCGGCTCATGAAAAGTTCGGCGTCTGAACCGGGCCTAAGTCAAATAGTAACGATTTTTATAGCCAAAGCTGGACATGTTTGGGCTAGCTGACCGTGGGAATAAGAACAAGGTAAAGGAGCTCGGTGTGGGTAGTGTTTTGGTACAACTGAATGTACACGGCTATGATCGGCAAGAAGCTACAGACCAATGAAAAGCTAAAATGCTTGTTAAAAAACCCAAACAGGAACTTCAACTCGACTTATGAACTAAGGTCTCAAACACGACCACCTACAGTTTGTATGAAAAACTAACCTCTGACAATGGCAAGCGAAGAATGTTCTCAAAATGGCAGTAAGTAAATTCGCCAGCTAAGCAAAAATTCAAATACTAGTAAAATCATAGAGCAAAACAGGAAATCACCCATAACAAAATCAAGACAAACCTTGACCCACTTAATGAGACAAGAACGAAACTTAAAAAATGAGATAGGTCTGAAAAGTAAAATACTTCACAACACTAGCTTGTGACTTTTCCGACTCTCGCTTCTTCGTCTGCGTTCGCAGTCTTAAAACTCGTCAATAAAATGAATTATTTCAATGGCTAGATCGCGAGAAGGTTTTTGTCCTCAAACTCAAAAGTTGGAGCTCTGTTGCATGAGCATCACTGAAGGAGATGCTAGTTTTTCGTAATATTCAATATCCTGTTCTAGTCGGTTTTCTCTCTCCCACCTGCGGACTAACTTAGCCCTGTGGCTCTCTCGTATTCTGAGATGGGACGAGAAGGAACGGAGAGGAACTTGTTTCTCTAATTTATCGCCTCCTCCCCTGCCCTTTGTCCAAATTTCTTGCTCCTTACATTGGTACCCTTCCGGAAATGGCTTCATGTAAAGGAATCCTGAAATAATTAGTGACCTGATTGTCTTAAGTTGTTATGTAGCTGAAGTTTAACCCCGACAATTCGCGCTGGTTTGAGCTCTCAGTGGCTACCTCTAGGTCACAAGACCGTATCGCAAATGAAGAGTCCCTCTGCTTCGGGGACTGACATAAACGCCAGTAAAATGCTCTCTACGAAACTATTCGTTGTGCTTTCTTTCTTTTAATCTCACTGTAAAATAATCCTGTTTTGTGCTCTCTCGCCGTCTGATATCATTACCCTCCATCTTGCAGTGTTTATGTTTAAGTTCCATAACCAACTTTTACCTTCAGTTTTTGATACCTTTTTTAATCCTGTTAGGAACATACATAGATATAACACTAGGTTGTCCTCCAGGAAGACTTATGCTAACCCTAAAGCCAGAACAAATTATGGAATTTTCAATTTAAGGTTCCAGGGTGCTAAAGTTTGGAATGATATAACTGATGACATCAAGCTCCTCTATCTCCAGCGTCTTAAGAAAAAGCTAAAGTCAATTCTTATTGATAAATATTAACTGCAGTTTTATCAACACCATATTTTTTTTGGCTTTCCGTTGTTTAATATTGGCATACTCAGGTTTCTTTTGTTGTCTTTCTTTTTGAACTAGTTTTTTTCCTTTTTTTTGCGTCTGTGTTTTGTGTAGCTGTGTGTAGTGTGTGGTACGTGACCCTTAATTTAATCATTTATTAATAACCTAAGTAAGGCTGCCTTATCTTTTTAGCCCTCAACGGTTATTATGGACAGCCTGTACCCTCTCCATATTCTATAGTAATATTTTTGTATCATGTAAATCAATGTAGGGTACAAATAAAGTTGTTGATGTTGTTCTCTCGCAAATACAGTTTCTCGCCCTCACAATTCTTGCACGTGCTCCAGTACAAATATGGAAGTAATTTATGCAAAGTCTTCCCGTAAAGGAAGGGTAAATCTAAACTTCTCGCACAACTCTTCGCCTTGAGACCAGTTAGTGTTCAAACTGTGAATTGTTTGTCTACTACCCTGACAGGTTTTGACTGGAGACCTTGGTGGCCGTAGCACGTGTTCTGAGTTTACACAGGAGATCTGCCGGAAGCTTGAATAGTTTTTTAACGTCTCTGAATCTGTCCAAGCTGGTTTTGGAGTTCATCGATGTGATTGGACCTAACTTTGATGGAGCCATTTTATCATTTGGTGATTAAGTTATCGTTTTCCACAGATGTATTTTTCCGGCCGTAGGTTTTTTCGCCTTTGGATATCGAAATTTCAATGGCAAATTTAAATTTTGTTCTTTCTCGCCACTCTCAATCCCAAGATTATACCTTCAGAAACTGTGAATTGAAATATTTTCTGTTACAACAAGCGAATGACGTTCTCTCCTTTTCTTCTTATTTTTGCGTATTTCAACTGTAAATTATCAGAACGTTGCAAATCGAAGATGCTCTTATGACTAGCAACTTATTTCTATTAATGTTCTAAAATGATTTGTAAATTTTAAAATCAGGCTAGTTTATTTGCCCGTTGTTACAAAGTGGTCTTAGTTGATTGACTTTCGGACATAATTCCCTTGAGCTGTAAGATTTATGTAAGTTCAATTAGATTATTGCAAATTGTACATTGAAGTCATAAAGAGAGAAAGATAGACGCTGATTTATGTTTTCATGTGTTTGTGTCACCATACTCACGATCAGCAAAGGTTTCTCTCCCCCTCCCCCTCCTCCTTTTTTTTGCCCTGACGCCTACCCCAAGGGTTGATATTTCTACTCTCCCCAGTCTTCCTCAGAGACGAAATCAAAGATGGCGGTCACGTCAGTACGAATTTTAGACCCTGGGGACGGGCTTGGCAACTTTCGCTTGCCCAAAAATACGCGTATAATGCAGGCTATCAAATGGCGAGAAGCTTTTCTACAAAAACAAACGTGAGAGTGGTAACTACGCAACCGTGATAATCTGTTATCTGATAATCTGTAAGCCCGGTGGCTTCTCTTGGGCTTCCTCGCCATGAGAGTTTAAGTAATTAGATTTCATTTGATTTGTATAATTTTTTGGCAAACAAACAAAAGTTATGTACCACGCTAAACAACTCCGATAACTGTAAAGTTTACTTAATATTACTACAAAGTTTTTTCAATGGTGGAAAAATAGTTCGAAGGAATTAAGTAAAACGATGAAGGGAAACCAACAAGGATGTGTAAAATAGTATAAACCCCTTTTGAGTGAAGGTTTTATTGTCTGTCGCTCCTCTTTTGTTTTTTCCCTTTTCTCTTCACGGACAGTTCTCTTCCAGGCCACAGTAATTCCAGTAGCGAATATCCTCTCCTTCTTCGCTTCCAGTACCAAATGGCCAATTACTACTGCTAATATCTATTGGATTAGTTGATATTGTAGTGCCAGCGCTAATAAAAATCCCTACATGATAAGTGTTGTCAATCGGGTCACGAGCTGCCACTATGTCTCCACGCTGAGGGGCGTTTACGAGTGTCCAATTTTTCAGCGTACTTAAGGTACCCCACCCTCCCACGCCCGCCCCTATGGGGACCCCCTCCGAAACCTCTGGCATTTTGACTCCGGCTAAGTTACCAATGTCATAAACAAAATAATTGTTCTTGTTTGTGTTCGGTCCACTGCCGCTGTAAGCAGCATTCGACCAGTAGGCGCAGCCAACTTGTAGCTCTGCCCTTGCAGCAATGCCTTCTCTGATGGCGGGTACGTCAGGCTAAGAAGAAATACAGACCCATATGCGTCATTTTTAAAAATGTTAGTACCTATGCATTTAATTTATAACCAGTAGCAAGAAAATAATTGCCATCCAGATTGATTTTAAAATTGCAAAGTCTGAGGCTTTGTTCACACTATACGGGATAACGTTTCGTGCCGACACAAAAAGTTATCCGGTATTTTATGAACTTCTATCCGATATGTGACTCTCCACTTTAGATATCGGCCAGGCGTAGCTTCGCACCGTTACAGAAAATCGCGCCGAAATCACGGTCCATTATGTGTAAACGAAAGCCCCATCCTCTGACCTATTCGGTATGGCTTTCGTGCCGGCGAAAAAGGTATCCGGTACAATGTGAAAATAGCCTTAATCGCGCCATGTTTTATAGTCATTTATTTTAGTAGGGGCATACATAAGGGTTTGGTTTGGAACTGAAATGACAGTAGCCGAAAAAACGTTGCCATTGTCACTCAGTTTCAATCTCGGGCAGAATAAAATGGAACAGCAAACTTCCTATCCCCCCGAAATCAACGAAGCCGCACAAAGAGCAAAACGCATTATTTTCCCATCCTTAATTGGGGGAAGGGAGGGGGAAGGGGTCTAAATTTTCAATTTACTTTGTAGCCTGCGTGCAGACGACTCCTATTCCATTATTCCATTGCTGCACACACTTCGCAGCAATGGAACAGGAGTCGTCCGCACGCAGGCTGTATTAAGTGCGATGGCTCAGAATGTACTCATAGATGGAAGACTTGACCGATCCCGATCCCCGCCTTTTAATCTCCTTTTAATAAAATTAAAAAGATAGATTTAGAGTTCGTCAAAGGTAGCCATCCGAGTTTCCTTTGAGAAAAATCACCTCAAAAACAACGCTCGGGGTTCTGATCACAAAGGCACGTCTGTTTAACACCCATGAGTCCCCACTCTTAGCGGGAATCAAAGGAATGACGTACCTCAGTAACGATGTTGGATATAAGGCTGATTCCAAGAAAAAGTGACAGAATCGTCCGAGACTTCATAGCTGTCTTGATCCTGGGCTCTGGAAAAAACAAGGAAATTGTGCATTGATGATTAAAATAGTAGAATGACAGTCTTTGGTGTGGAATACAGTCGAACTTTCCTTAAGCGACCATCCGAAATACCAAGGCTTTTTTGCATCGCTTACGGGAGTTGGTCGCTTACAAGAAACGGACCACAGGGATGTTGTACTGGCGAAAGGTTCTGGCTCACCTGAGCTGCTTGTTCAAAAAGATTCTGTTGCAAAGAGTTTCCAAGTTTGAAAGGGAAGGGGAAGGGGATTAGAGTCTACTAAATAAGTACGGGCCTCACTGATACTCTGAGTTTGGTATTAGATACGGTAGACATAGGCGAGTGGGAATAAGCCTGTAAGCAAGTTCTATTGGGGTGTGGGGGCATAGGCGTACGGGCAATTTTCGGCCAGGGGGGGGGGTAAACCATTTGCCCAAAAAATTCTTGCAAGTTGCCCAAATTTTTACAAAACAGTCGAAAAGAAACGAGGGCCAAACGATGCAACAACATAGGCCGTACTGGCATATGAAAGTGCTTCGATACAGTTTTTCAGGGTCAATGCCTGCCAAGTTTGAGCATAAACTACGTCGNGGAGAGAAGAGAAAGGAGGGGGGAGGTAGCTGGAGTCTTAAAAAATAGGTCGTGCCTCACTATGTGTGGGGGTTTGGAAATGGATGCGGAAGACAAGGGAGAGGGGGAAGAAGCTTGTAAGGATTTTTTATGGGGGTGGGGGGGAATAGGGGTGCGGGAAATGGTGGGGGGGGGGGGGGGGGTAAACCATTTGCCCAAAAAATTCTTGCAAGTTGCCCAAATTTTTACAAAACAGTCGAAAAGAAACGAGGGCCAAACGATGCAACAACATAGGCCGTACTGGCATATGAAAGTGCTTCGATACAGTTTTTCAGGGTCAATGCCTGCCAAGTTTGAGCATAAACTACGTCGCCATAAACAAACATTTGGAAAAATTTCCACCACTGTCATGATCAGGGTTGCTATGACAACTCTGCGAAATGACGCCATTACCTATTATACTTGCAGCTGACTCGTCCCCTGTCGTCTCTAAGTTGTCTCTACTCATCATCCCCTTTGTTAAAGAGCCCGTTCTAGTCTTCCACGCCGAATACTAATAATGAGAGACGACTGGGGACGAGTCAGTACTTGCAGCATTATTTCTCACAGTATGAAATCGTTCTTGGGAGCTTTTTCCTCCAATAGTCGCCTCGATGTTCGTGAAGTTAAAACGGAACAGGTGACGGAATTTGTAAGAGCGTTATCGGGATATTTTGGGATAAAGTTTTTATAGTTAGAAATACAGTAAAAAAAGGAAAATCTTTATGTTTAGCCGCTATCTGTAGAAAACGAAGTGCTTTTGACATGCAATTTCACGGCATAGTAGCTTCATCTTTTTAAAAATGTGTGTGAATTATATTAGAGATAATTCTGGTCAATTGCTACAAAGAAGGATTTCATTAGTATGTATCATGGCGCTCTTGTTAGCGGTTTTGTAAACATTTCGGTGTACTTCAACAAATTAGTGAATAATTTGAACCACTTGATAGATTTTTTTCAAAAAAATTAAGATTGTTCTCGTAATTCAAAGTGAGAATTAGTCAGCCACTTCTTCACGTTCAGATCAATCGCTGATGCTATCTGCCATACACTGTTCTACGAGCGGAGATGATTGTAGAAAGTTAGGCGGAAGTTTATTCTAAGAAATTCACGACTGGAAATAGCCCATTGCCGTACAGTGCCCAACGATAAAAAAAACTCGGCATATGATACTCTTCCCTTATAAACAGAAACTCATCACGTGCTTGGCAACCACTGTCTCGTGTGAATGTAACTGGATTATTACGCCGACTTCAGGTTAAATTAGAAAATATTTATCTCTTCAAAATACTAATAAAAAAAAACATGAAAACGTCTTTAAAAGCTGGCTTTGCCCAAATTTTCTCTTGCTGCCCAAAAAATCTGAGTTACCGAAACTTTGGGGGGGGCTTCAGCCCCCCTCGCCCCCCCGGCCCGTACGCCTATGTGTGGGGGGCTGGGACACCCCCTTCTAAACTAAAGCTACACAGCAAGGGATTTTACTAACAAATTTTGGGGGCGGTAACTGTGCTTAAATTTCTCCAGCTTTTTTTTGCTTTAGACTTTCTATATATATGTCTGCAATTTTTCCCGGGAAATTTTAGTCGGCAGGAAGAGAAATTTTTACCGACAAATGTATAGAAAATTTTAAAAAGGGGTTCTAGCACATGTAGCTGCATGTAACACCCTCAATTTTTTTCAGTAGAATCGTTAGAAGTGGAACTTTAGTTTACAATTCGTATTCTTTTTAGAACAGCCGTTTTAGAGAAATTATTCCGACACTTGATTCTCATACAAACACTGTAATTTCTCATTCGGTTGCCTACTCGTCAAGATGGCTTCCAAAACCGGGATAAGGCCTATGGAGGCTCGACAGGGAAGCTACTGAGTCAACAGGAACTCACTGAGGTTATTCCGATTGAATTTTGGATTGCTGGCATTTGCTTGCGGGTGAAACATGCTTGCTTATTTATGTCTATTGAAGCCTGACTTCTGCAATCCGTTTAACAAATGTTCCTTAACTGCAGAAGCCGACGTAAAATCAAAGCTATCTTCTCCTCAGTATGCCATCATAATTTTAGCAGCGAACTAAAGCGATCGATAGGTTTTAAAAATTCCTATGCTTAGTCAATAATCAGTCGACTGTCGTTTAGAAATGCGGAAGCGTATATGTATATGTGGTATGTAAAACACCCGGGGTTAAAACACTGCTTGCATGTAGTAAGGATTGTGTTCTCATTAATTCTTGTCCATATTCACCTCGTTTCACTGAGAGAAACACTATCGACTTTCAGTTTTCCCAAAACTTTATTCGCCAGTAGACATTCCCAAGTTATTTTCTATTTCATTGTCGCGTGCCTTCGGCAAATCGGAATGATTTTTGAGACTAATTAGTGGATTATCTTAGACACTCTTTCTTCACTACGCTGTCTTTGCCTTATGTAAAGTTAAATACAAGTTTTAAGATCGGGTATATTTTAGAACAGTTTTCGTAATAACGTCGATTTAACTTTTTCACTGAGTCATCAACGGCCAAGTTTTAATGACAGTGAATGGTCGTCAGTACAATGAACAAACTTGAATAAATTACTTACCAAAACTCTGTCTTTTTTGGAACTAGAAAAAACTTTTACAGTACCCTGTGTGAAGAAAAATTTGAAGACCAAGGGAAGCAAGCTTAACAAAAAACATCCATACCTGTTTTATGTTTTGACTGCACGATTCACCTTGCTTGCGAAATTAGAGCAAACACAAACAGATCCAATATTTGGGTTTCTAATGTGCCCTTTCCCACGCTACAATAGGCAGGAGGGGGTTAACATGGAATAATTGAACCGTAGGGCAAACGGAATTTTTGGATTGGAGTAATGGACTGCTAGCTATATGTTTTTGAAAGATCCGTATTGAAAAAAGTAGGTTGATCTCTTAGTTTAAAAACGACAGACAATTTTGGAAACAATGGTCTAAAGATCAGTTAGGGTACTATCAAGATGCTGTTGATTTTATGATAGAGCTGACTGAACAGCAAGTGCAGTCAAACTTTCCAAATAGAATTTCTATGAAGCATCCGCTTTACAGGCTCAGGTGTCAGTACATAACTTATAGGGGGGGCTTGACTGTATTTAAGAAATAAGGAAAACAAACATCATTTCAAAAGAAACAAAGGACGCATGACGCAAGTGATAAAGTGCGTGACAGAGATGTTTGTCAGCAAACAAGCTTTTTGAATGCTTAATTTCGTTTTGTCAGGTCTTGTCAGAACCATGGCTTTTGCGCAGCTTTGCGCCATGGCGTTAATCCTAATACGTTACGTGCTGCTTTGCAATTTTGTGTGATTTGGTGATCAAGCCATCCGTAAATCATTAATAATACACGGTACAATGTACGTGAGCAGCAAATGCTAAAGTGAACGACACGGCAGCTTGTTGAGTTAGTAAGCAAAAATCACAGAAATGTCAACATGGAGGAAGTTGTTTCTACAGTTAGTGACACTGGCTTTGCGTAAAAAGTAAAAGATATCACATTTAAATCATTGCGAAAATGCTATCTATCGATTGGTTCGGCTCAGCTCCTGTCTGCAGAACTCCTTGTGGGGAGGAAGTGGGGGTTACTCAAAAACGTTTTATACAGGAAGGCTCCCCCCCCCCCCCCCCCCCCCCCCCCCCCCCCCCCCCCCCCCTCCCCATTTATTTTCCTCCCATCAAGAACCCACCACACACTTATCTTTTCTAATCTATACCAACCACCGCACCCATCCTCCAATCCTCTTCTCCTCCTTTACTTTTGTATCTACTTCTGAGATTGTTTNATTCAAATGCTGTAAATGCGCTGTCTTTAAAATGTGAATCAATCCGGCAAAACCAGAACATTTCTTCGACTTCCTTTATAACCATAAAGTGCATCGTTAGCCCTTTCGGCCTTTTTACAGACCGAATATACCCTTTCATATACTTCAACTTGTGAAACCCCTAACTTTTTTTACCTGAAGCCTAAAAACAGTACCCATTTCGGGCGGAGCCACCTCTTATAGGCCATTATTGGGAGTACCCCCCACCCCTCCCTTGACGTAGAACTCCGGTTTCTCTTTTTCTGAGTTGCCCGTCAATTACTACTCTTGACTTAAGAAATATGGAACTCTGATACAAAAAAAGGAACTGTTTGTCACATGGCAACTCGACTGTTACTCAATAATCGACAACAACCATGAGAAATGAATGTAAGAAATATTCCTAAAGTTTCAATTCTTTCGTCGTTTCTCTTGAATCTTTACGCGGGATGACACAGGCAGCCAGCGTCTTAAATTCGGTAGCGCATTCCTCTTGTATTTTTCTTGGGAGTCAAAAACCGCCTTGTCTTTTTAACTTTCCCGTATCCCGCGCCCGTTCAGAAAAATTTTGTGATTTTATTGGCTGCAACTTCGGATCACTAGCAAGTCAGGTTGGATTGCACAAGCAGAAAAAAGATACTGCGTCAGCAAAGGAGGGAAAAGTAAGCTTACTGCGTAGAGGAGGACAAAGTCAAGGCTGTGCTCTAACTTACGGCGCGCGGTCCTCTGAGGCGACTAAGACTTGGCCTCGGGCGACTTAAAATATTGTCCAGGTCACCCAGCCGCGCGACATGCTTAGCTTGTGTTGGTTTCTTGATTTAAAGTCAAAAAGCTAGAATTTATCCCTTGCGACTTCCTTGCTCGGCCGCTTCGTGGCCTGAACAGAACGTTCCGCTCGCTAAGAAACTCTTGAGGTCAACGTGTATATAGCGTGTCAATCAAAAAGCTTTTTACAAGGAAATGTAGGGCACCAGGCGCGCGTTGATGTTCAAATATCGCTCCACTTGAATTCACATGTACTAAATAATCCTTGACTCTGAACGTGACAAGCTGCACGTTTTTCGATTTTAACAGCTTTTCAAAATGGCATCAATATTTTTTCTTCAAATAAGGATGGTTCATTAGTTAGTTTTAAAAAGAAATTGTTACTTCTTCCCTGACAGGCGTAAAGTATTTTATGAAATCTGTGAATAAACACAAAGTCGCCTCAGTTTTCAGATAATTAAATATTTTTTACCTGTTTTTTACTGCTGTGTCTGCGAGGCTAAAAAATAACTTAAGATAAAAAGAAAAGATACGAGTATTGTTGAGATTTTTTTAAAAAAAGGTATGTAAATCTATAAAGTCCTGCATTGTCTTTGGTGTCGTGACAAGTCATTACGTATCGATTAAGTACTAAATATAAATGTGCGAAAGCTAACTTTAGTGGTCAAAGTAGAACTAGCTGGCTACCGAACCCAAAAAAAGCTCATTTGTCCCGAACATTTCACCGATAACATAAAACGACTACTTTCCAACAAGATTATCTATTCAAAAGAGATAATAGTCTTGAGGCCGGGTTTTGAGGCGCCCGCGGTTTCTTTGCAATTCATAACAGCTTTTCCAGAAAGCTCCACGGGAACTCAGTTATTTCTCTTAACCCAAGTCCCAATAGTGAACAACAACAACTTTTCTCCTAACAATATCCATATGTTGCCAAGAGAAATGGTTATGAGAGTTAATAAAATGATCACTAAAGAGAAAATGCTTTGATCTGTTATTAAACAATCTCAACTAATTCTTTAAAGAAATGTATGAAGATCAGTATGGAGAATTTATATGTGGATATTGGGGCTTAAGGTGTTAAATGATTAGTAAAAAGAATAGATAGTGTCCTTATTTTTACCCAAACCTTTTTATGAAACTAAATAAACACACCACAATCTTACTCACGGTCCCCCCTTTCCCTCGTGTCCCCTTATGTCCCCTGTGTCCCTTGTGTCCTCTGTGTCCCCTTATGTCCCCTGTGTCCCTTTGTGTCCCCTTGTGTCCCCTGGTGTCCTTTTGTGTCCACTTGTGTCCCTTGTGTCCCCTGTCTTTCCTTGTGTCCCCTTGTTTCCCTTGCGTCTCCTGTGTTCCTTTGTGTCCCTTGTGTCCCTTGTGTCCCTCGTATCCCCTTGTGTCCCCTGTGTCCCCTCGTGTCTCCCTGTGTCCCTTGTGTACACGGGTTTTTCGAAAAAATAAAAAAATATCCCACTAAATAAATTGCGAAAAGCTTGTTATCCTGTGTGTGGGGTCCCGCCCCTTCTCGCAGAAATCCTTTGGGGGGGGAGGGGGGGTTTATCAAAAAAATTTTTTTAAAGGAGGCGCCCCCCCCCCCCCCCCCCCGAGGTCTAACCCCTTACCCTTTTATATGCCAATTTTGACAGAAAAGGTACCCCCTTCATATACCTTCTATTGAAAAATGGCCGACCCCTTTCACTTACCTAGTTGACAACTTTGCATCTCATTCAAATGCTGTAAATGCGCTGTCTTTAAAATGTGAATCAATCCGGCAAAACCAGAACATTTCTTCGACTTCCTTTATAACCATAAAGTGCATCGTTAGCCCTTTCGGCCTTTTTACAGACCGAATATACCCTTTCATATACTTCAACTTGTGAAACCCCTAACTTTTTTTACCTGAAGCCTAAAAACAGTACCCATTTCGGGCGGAGCCACCTCTTATAGGCCATTATTGGGAGTACCCCCCACCCCTCCCTTGACGTAGAACTCCGGTTTCTCTTTTTCTGAGTTGCCCGTCAATTACTACTCTTGACTTAAGAAATATGGAACTCTGATACAAAAAAAGGAACTGTTTGTCACATGGCAACTCGACTGTTACTCAATAATCGACAACAACCATGAGAAATGAATGTAAGAAATATTCCTAAAGTTTCAATTCTTTCGTCGTTTCTCTTGAATCTTTACGCGGGATGACACAGGCAGCCAGCGTCTTAAATTCGGTAGCGCATTCCTCTTGTATTTTTCTTGGGAGTCAAAAACCGCCTTGTCTTTTTAACTTTCCCGTATCCCGCGCCCGTTCAGAAAAATTTTGTGATTTTATTGGCTGCAACTTCGGATCACTAGCAAGTCAGGTTGGATTGCACAAGCAGAAAAAAGATACTGCGTCAGCAAAGGAGGGAAAAGTAAGCTTACTGCGTAGAGGAGGACAAAGTCAAGGCTGTGCTCTAACTTACGGCGCGCGGTCCTCTGAGGCGACTAAGACTTGGCCTCGGGCGACTTAAAATATTGTCCAGGTCACCCAGCCGCGCGACATGCTTAGCTTGTGTTGGTTTCTTGATTTAAAGTCAAAAAGCTAGAATTTATCCCTTGCGACTTCCTTGCTCGGCCGCTTCGTGGCCTGAACAGAACGTTCCGCTCGCTAAGAAACTCTTGAGGTCAACGTGTATATAGCGTGTCAATCAAAAAGCTTTTTACAAGGAAATGTAGGGCACCAGGCGCGCGTTGATGTTCAAATATCGCTCCACTTGAATTCACATGTACTAAATAATCCTTGACTCTGAACGTGACAAGCTGCACGTTTTTCGATTTTAACAGCTTTTCAAAATGGCATCAATATTTTTTCTTCAAATAAGGATGGTTCATTAGTTAGTTTTAAAAAGAAATTGTTACTTCTTCCCTGACAGGCGTAAAGTATTTTATGAAATCTGTGAATAAACACAAAGTCGCCTCAGTTTTCAGATAATTAAATATTTTTTACCTGTTTTTTACTGCTGTGTCTGCGAGGCTAAAAAATAACTTAAGATAAAAAGAAAAGATACGAGTATTGTTGAGATTTTTTTAAAAAAAGGTATGTAAATCTATAAAGTCCTGCATTGTCTTTGGTGTCGTGACAAGTCATTACGTATCGATTAAGTACTAAATATAAATGTGCGAAAGCTAACTTTAGTGGTCAAAGTAGAACTAGCTGGCTACCGAACCCAAAAAAAGCTCATTTGTCCCGAACATTTCACCGATAACATAAAACGACTACTTTCCAACAAGATTATCTATTCAAAAGAGATAATAGTCTTGAGGCCGGGTTTTGAGGCGCCCGCGGTTTCTTTGCAATTCATAACAGCTTTTCCAGAAAGCTCCACGGGAACTCAGTTATTTCTCTTAACCCAAGTCCCAATAGTGAACAACAACAACTTTTCTCCTAACAATATCCATATGTTGCCAAGAGAAATGGTTATGAGAGTTAATAAAATGATCACTAAAGAGAAAATGCTTTGATCTGTTATTAAACAATCTCAACTAATTCTTTAAAGAAATGTATGAAGATCAGTATGGAGAATTTATATGTGGATATTGGGGCTTAAGGTGTTAAATGATTAGTAAAAAGAATAGATAGTGTCCTTATTTTTACCCAAACCTTTTTATGAAACTAAATAAACACACCACAATCTTACTCACGGTCCCCCCTTTCCCTCGTGTCCCCTTATGTCCCCTGTGTCCCTTGTGTCCTCTGTGTCCCCTTATGTCCCCTGTGTCCCTTTGTGTCCCCTTGTGTCCCCTGGTGTCCTTTTGTGTCCACTTGTGTCCCTTGTGTCCCCTGTCTTTCCTTGTGTCCCCTTGTTTCCCTTGCGTCTCCTGTGTTCCTTTGTGTCCCTTGTGTCCCTTGTGTCCCTCGTATCCCCTTGTGTCCCCTGTGTCCCCTCGTGTCTCCCTGTGTCCCTTGTGTCCCCCTATGTCCCCTTGTGTTTCTTGTGTCCCCTGTGTCCCTTGTGTCTCCTGTATCTCCCGTATTCCTTTGTCCTTTGTGTCTCCCTGTTACCCTTGTTTCCCTTGTGTCCCCTGTGTCCCTTGTGTCCCTTGTTTCCCTTGTTTCCCTTGTGTCCCCTGTGTCCCCTTGTGTCCTCTGTGTCCCCTATGTTCCCTGTGTCCCTTGTGTCCCCTTGTGTCCTCTGTGTCCCCTGTTGCCCCTTGTGTCCCCTTGTGTCCTCTGTGTCCCCTATGTTCCCTGTGTCCCTTGTGTCCCCCGTGTACCCTTGTGTCCTCTGTGTCCTCCGTGTCCCCTTGTGTCCCCTGTATTCCCTGTGTCCCTTGTTCCCGCTTGCATTGTGTGCCCCGTGTCCCTTGTGTCCCCTGTGTTCCATGTGTCCCCTCGTTTCCCTTGTGTCTCCTGTGTTCCTTTGTGTCCCTTGTGTCCCTCGTATCCCCTTGTGTCCCCTATGTCCCCTTGTGTCTCCCTGTGTCCCTTGTGTCCCCCTATGTCCCCTTGTGTTTCTTGTGTCCCCTGTGTCCCTTGTGTCTCCTGTGTCTCCCGTATTCCTTTGTGTCCTTTGTGTCTCCCTTTGTCCCTTGTGTCCCCTGTGTCCCTTGTTTCCCTTGTGTCCCTTGTGTCCCCTGTGTCCCCTTGTGTCCTCTGTGTCCCCTATGTTCCTTGTGTCCCTTGTGTCCCTTGTGTCCCCCGTGTCCCCTTGTGTCCTCTGTGTCCCCTGTTTCCCCTTGTGTCCCCTGTGTCCCCTTGTTTCCTCTGTGTCCCCTATGTTCCCTGTGTCCCTTGTGTCCCCTGTGTCCCCTTGTGTCCTCTGTGTCCCCCGTGTCCCCTTGTGTCCCCTTGTGTCCCCTGTATTCCCTTTGTCCCTTGTTCCCGCTTGCATTGTGTGCCCTGTGTCCCTTGTGTCCCCCGTGTCCACTTGTGTCCTCTGTGTCTCCTAGTTTCCCTTGTGTCCCTTGTGTCCCCTGTCTCTCCTTGTGTCCCCTGTGTTTCTTTGTGTCCCTTTTGTCCCTCGTATCCCCTTGCGTCCTCTGTTTCTCTTTGTGTCCCTTGTGTCTTCCTGTGTTCCTTGTGTGCCTTGTGGTCCCTTGTGTTTCCTTATGTCCCCTTGTGTCCCCTGTATCCCCTTTTCCCTTAAAAAAAACATGAAATATTGGGCGGCGTTGCCCCTGTTTCTCAAATGGCGCGAAAACGTTGATGGGTTTTATTGGTTTCATATGACAACATGCGGTTTTTTTTTCGCACGTTCAGAAATTCAAAGGATGTGATATTTCATGAAAATCAAAATCAAAACACAAAATTCTGCTTGACTTGTTTAGAAAATAATTTGATTAATATTTAATAATCAACTAACAGCTCACGGATTTATTAATTTAGGCCACCAATTTGGAGGCCCAGGCACCCCAGCTAAAATGTTTGGGAGTCCGAAGGGCTCTCCGAAAGATTTATTTGTGTGACCATATTTTAGGCCTTGGCACCCCAGGTAAGATACTTGGGAGCCCTTTCCGTTTCTCCTCACTCCGGCGGCGAAGAGCGAGGGGAAACGGATGTTTTCGCAGGCTAACTTTTGTTTGAAATTGCTAAATCTGAATGATATCAAACTCAGGCCACTAAAATATAGAAAAATAATAACCATAACCTCTAAACTTTCCGAAGGAATGATTAAATAACACAGTAATTGCAAACAAGGCACTGATTGACAATCTGAAGAAGATAAAACACCCATTGCAATAATTATTGTAGTTTTCAAACTCTGTTCGCCAGTTTTTCAAAGTTCAACCCTGTAGTTTGTAACTTAATATATAATGCTCGGGAGGCATATTTGTTTGTCAAGAAGTTGTGACTTTGTCATTTACAAGTTATTTCTTATAGCTAATGCTAATTTCCATAGCGAGTACAGTTGATTGGGAGAATGGTAGCCTGCATAGCATGGCGGTTTTGGTTGGGGGCGCTAAATAAAAAAGGCGGGCGAGGGCAGAGAAACCGCGAGGAGATTGGGACGGGAGCTTCGCCGCTCTTTCGCGCACGCTTTCGCTTAGTCGTGCTCCCAACAAAACCGCTATGGTACGCAGGCTAGGGGACTTTACTCATTCCTGATACATGTACAGCCCCTTGACCAGGTCTAAGCTTCTTTTGGCGCCGAAACAGTGTTAAATGTGTCCACGGGATTGGAGTAGTAGTACTAACCTACTACTAGGGGCAGTTAAGTTCTCCACAGTAACGCCAGATCACGATCTGATCTCCTTCATCGTTTCCGGTACCAAATGGCCATGTACCTTTAGCAATGTCTACTGAATTAGCTGACACCATTATATCAGGGCTGACGTAAATTCCTACATGGTAAATTCCACCACTGTCTAGGTAGTGGGCTGCAACGATGTCGCCACGCTCAGGTGAGTCCACGGCTACACGTTTCCAGTAATTCAGGGTACTCAAGGTACCCCAACCTCCGTCCCCCGCCTCTATGGGGACCCCCGCCGAAACTTCTGGCATTTGGGCGCCGGCTAAGACACCAATGTCATGAACAAAATAGTTGTTCTTGTTTGTATTAGGTCCACTACCGCTGAGAGCAGCATTGGACCAGTAGGCGCAGCCAACTTGTAGCTCTGCTCTCGCAGCAATGCCTTCTCTGATGGCGGCTGAATCCTAAAGAAAATTAAAAAAAACAAAGACCGACAAGTGAATGCTTCGTTCCCATTCGCTAGCGATCTCTTTTTAGCGGAATATCTGAGTTAATTATTAAGGACAGCGGGGGTGAAAGGAATCCCCGCTCCCGCTCTGTGCTCGTTCCCATCATGCCTCTCTCGCGCTCTTTCCCTTTCTTCAGCTCTCTCGCTTCTCGTTTTTTCTGTTCTTCCCACTAAGCCTTGGGAACGGCTGTGGAGGAGGCAGAGCTAGTGATGTTCATCTCAGTGTCATTCTCGTCCCCAGAACCTCCTGTTCCCTTAGCCGGCGAGGCCTGAGCACAAGGACAAGCCTGGCCGGCTAAGGGAACAGGAGACTCTGAGGACGGCAATATCTCAGTATCTGACAGGAACCAACAGTTTGCCAAGACTAATTTATTTAATAATTAAGCTTGTCCGACTCGGAAACGCAAATTTGCCTCATAAGCCGGGTCAAAATATAAGCCCCTCAATGAATGTAGTTAAACAGGCCTTTGTAATTAGAAAAGTACAAAGGCATGCGGGGCTTATCTTGAAAATTTTGCGGTAGCTAATTAATGAGAGCTGGGTAATCCATCCAGACCTCTCTTAAAATCTATATTCAGAAAATGATACAATGGACTTGAGAGAAATAACAACCAGCTTCCTCCTGTTCACCTCATAAAATTCTGATAATGTGCAGAATATTCAAATGGGCGAATATGCCTTAAAGGTATTCTCATTATCGCGGGCGACAAAGGGAGCCCGCAATCCTAATCTGCCGGTTGCTTTTTTACATGCGCGGCACGTATGTAGCCAGCATTCGTCTGGACTTCCACTAAAAGTATATGAAATACATAAGCCGCATCTGATCACGCCCGTTTTGACCTTCTCTCACGTGAAACTTGCGCATAGCACGGAGTTGTCTCGCGTTGGAGCAAGCGCGTTTTGCTATTCTATTAACATCGCCTTAGATTATTCTCTCTTGCATAGCCAGCGCTCCATAACCTTTGGTTATCATATCAGTAACATAGGAAGAAGACATGGGTGAGTGTTCCTGTAGAGGGCATAGATTCTAGGTATAGATTCGTCTGGGTTAAGTTAAGAGATTAGCGATCTCGAGTCTTGACCCGAAGAGTGAAGGCCGAAAAAAGAATAAAATGACGGAAGCACAAATGAGTAAGCTAAGTTTTTTTGCTTTTAAAATTCTTTGCGGCAGCGAAGCGTAGTGTGCGAGGCAGGCGCCGGTTTTACGAGGGCGAAATGAGAAATTTAGATGAGGCGCGCGTCCATAAGACAAGCCAAAAACGTAAGCAGCGTCTGCCACACAAGCTACCACTTACGGTCCTTAAAAACGACTGAAAAAATGCCCATAAGACGCGCTCAGTTTTACCTTGCCCCTCTAATGTCTGTAAAACTTAACGTAACTTTTTCCTGTACATCGTTGTAATTAAAGAGAAAATCAAAGAAAAGTGCTGCTTACCGCAGAGGCGCTAGGGATGTTGACGATCAAATCCATTCCGATACAGAGAGACAAAAACAGCATCAGCATCTTGATTCTCTGTTCTGAGATAACGCAATAAGCAAATTAGTGGATAATATGATGTAGCTGGCCATGATAATAGAGTCGGTATCAAAACGCCAAATTCTTCACAGTATTGTTGTCTTCCTCTTCATTGCTAGTGAGTTTTTTTTCATATTTTTTAGATCGAGCAGGACTCTTGACTTCTTGATTTTGATATAGGATTTAGGGACATTTTGGGTTATTTTGTTTGCATTATAAAAGATTTCCTTAAATCTGTGAAAAACTTGATAAAATACGTAAGTAAGTAAGAAGGTTGTGTATGATCGTCAGGGTGAACGTAGTGCTGAATAAGACTGTTGTCGACAGTGACTGACGTTTTGACAACGTGTGCGGTAGTCATCTTCAGAGTCAAAGTGAGTTATATCACGTCAGATGATGGTATTAAACTCTGGTTAGCTCAGTCACCGTCAACAACAGTCCCGGTTTCAGGACTACGTTCACCCGGACGAACATACTTAACCATTTGAGAGAGAATCTCATCCTCTCTCGACTCAACCTACTCATGAAATGACTCCTGGGTTCTGACCTTACACAGTCATACGAGTAAGTATGAAAGATAATGAATGCACCAGTACAAGTTTTTGGCGTAATATTTGGTTACCGTGTATTGTTAGTCCTTGGCTACTTTACTTTCTTGGGTTTTGAAATAAAAGCGCTGAGGTTTCCCTCTAAACCTGCAGCGGTACAAGTTGCGTCAAAGTGCAAGCTGTCTGCGTGTGTGCAAAGAAGTAAGAGCACACTCAGTTGAAACTAAACTTTTAAAAAAATTGTAAATTTAGGCCCGTTTCAGACACCGCACTAGTTACATGAGCCGAATCGAATTCAAGTTAAGGATGACTCAAACGATCATTATTCCAGACAAGCTAAATTCAGAAAAATGCGCGTTTCGGTTAAGTATATCATAAAAATTTATGCATTTGCATTGTTTCGGCTCAAGTGAAGTTAGGCGTCCGAATCACCGCCGTTCCACAGCCGCTATTCCCGGCTGAGCCGGGTGTAAAAAACGACTGTGCCGATCCAAATGCAATTAGCTGTTTTGCATGAATTGATTCAGCCGCCACACTTCAAATGAATTTAACTCATTCAATTCGATTTGGGTCATTTCAACCGGGCCTAACAGGAAACATCGTATGTCTTTACCACCGGCATTCCTGTGCAGTTGAAATCGAGTCAAGTTCTCTGTTGCAGGTGCCGGCTTTTTTAGCGGCAAGGGAAAAAGTTTGAGAACGCACGCGCGCGCTCGCGCGCTCTTTTAAGAGATCTAGAAATTAAACCTAACCAAAAAAACTAAGTGGCGCTTGTCATGCCGGCGGTAAAGACTGGGTCACTGTTGCTGACAACTTCTGCTCTCGTATTGGAACAGTATCGCAGCTGTCGATAGTTATACGAGTGAAAAAAAAGTTACCTCAGCTAGAAGGGTGACCCTCATCCAATTTACCCTTTTTCGATGGTAGGGTCATCCTCCTAGCCGGGCCAACGTTTCTCCAAATCAACGTTTTGGCTCGCCCAGCTCGGCTCAGAGCATAAGCGAGCGCTGTTGTCAGCTCTTTGCTCGGGCAAAGGGGTCATCTTTTTTCTTATATAAAGTTGACTTGGCTGGGAGGGTGACCCTCCCATTCCGAGACAACT